CCATCCAAATTAATTAACAACTTACGTTCGTTCAACTTAACAGACTACAACTACTAGCTTTTTGCAACCCGGTCCTTCCTTATTTAGATCACGTTACAATGGTACAAGTGTCATTGACGGTTGGAAAGCTAGATGCTTCCTTGGCGTTGCTTCTTACTAAAGATCATCACTTAATTGAGTTCCCCACAATCCTTTTACCAGATGGTATTACCGCGGGATCTATAGTTAGAATCACTTGCGATCGGAATTTAGAGGAGGAACAAAAAGAGAAGGAACAATTTGAACAGGTTCAGGAAGAGATATACGATCTTTTTGGCAAGAACACGCCTCAAGCGCCAGTTCTCAGAGTGCTCAATGTTACCCAAACTAGTTGTGTGTTAGAATGGGACCCACTAGAGTTAGGTACATCTTCTATCAAATCATTAACTTTGTACAAAAATGGCGAACGTTTAGGTCAGATCCCAAATCCGCTGGTTAACACTAATACAAAATTGTCAGGATTACCCATCGATACTCCATATGAGTTCCAGCTACGACTGACTACCACAGCTGGTGTTTACACATCCAACAGTGTTCAATTAAGAACACACAAGATGACTGATCTGAGTGGAATTACAGTTTGTGTTGGTGAGATTGAACCCAATGATGCGTTTACAATTGAGGATATTGAGAAAAGTCTTCGTAAGGTCGGAGCACGACCAATGCAGAGAGAAGTTAAAGTCGATACCACGCATTTTATCTGTACAAAGAGTGTTGGACCGGAATGGGAGAAGGCTGAAAAAATGATTATACCTGTCGTTAGACCTGAGTGGATCAAAGCTTGTGAGTTGGAAAGACGTATTATTGGTGTGAGAAACTTCTATGTAAATGCTGAAGATACTTCTGCATGGACTCAGAAGAACTATTGGGGTAAGACTGAGCATCAAATTCCAGCACCTGAAGAACCTACATCTGGCGAGATATCTGAGCAAAAAACTGCTGACAATTCCAAGGTTGAGGAGCCAAAAACTGTAGTGCCAACCATCGAAGAGCCAAAGATTGAACAACCGATAATTGAAGCACCAAACATTGAAGCACAAGCTATCGAAGAACCAAAAATTGAAGCACCAACCATCGAAGCACCAAGTATCGAAGAACCAAAAATTGAAGCGCCAACCATCGAAGAGCTTGAAATTGAAGAACCAACAATTGTTGAAAAGACTGGCGAGCCAGAGGCTGAAGAAATTACTATTGTGGAACCAACCATTTCAGAGCCAGTGATTGAAGGACAAAAGCGTGAGGAACCAAAGAACGACGATTCAATTGAAGAACCATGTAAGACCCCAACCGAGAATGTAACTGAAAATCCAGTGGTTCAAGATCCCACAGTCAACGATCCGACGATCGAGGAACCAGTGTACGAAGAAATTCCGGTGACTGATCCTACAATCGAGGAACCAATAGTTGATCAAACATTGAGTGTTGCATCTATCGATGAACCCAAGACTAACACCGAAAGTGTTGTGGGGCAAGTGGCCGAAGAACCACCTGTTGAGGATCAAATTGAGGAAACGGCGGTTGAGGCGCCAGCTGCCAAAAATTCCCCCATTGAAGAATCAGATATCCAAGAACAACCTATCGAGGTACAGACGGTGGAACCACCTGTTGATTTGAATCGCCCTGATGAAGATCTATCGAATCAACAAATTGATCTCCCAAAAGGATTAGAATCCAATGAAGCTCCAGCGATTCATGCTGATGGCGATTTAAATTCTGAAACGGAAGACCATGAGGACGTCGTTTCTCCTGCCCAGTCAAGCCCAACGCTGGTAGGTTTACAAGCTAACCCAAAGAAAGGTTCCAAGAAGAAGAAGAAGAAGGGCAAGAAATGATAACATATATTCTAAAGTAGAGTGTAGATTACTAAAAATACTGCATCAATAATGGGTTTTCAATTATTCTCCAAAGAGCCTGCGTACTCTTCTTAACACTGAGTCCTTCTCAGGGTCATATGGATGGTCCTTTGAGGGAATCTCCAATATAGCTGGAAATGCCTTAGTGAATGTATCTACCTTGAATCTTATTCTCTCGGCAATGTGTTGGTTAATGAGTAGTATGGCAATATCATCTCGTTTTTCAGTATACTGATCGAATACCTCTTCAATCTGATCATCTGAGGTTCTTGGTTCCACTACCAAGAAATTCTTCTCCTTTCCCGGCTCTGAGGTAACTTGACCAACACCTGCCAGCAGCATACCGGTAACTGTGTCTTCATCTCCAATGACTCCAATGAGGGTCCTATTCTTATTTGCGTCTATCGACATTGGTGGTAGTTGTCAAAGTAGAGCAGCCAGAAGGTGCGCGGTCAGATATGTTAACTTGGGCGACGGGTTTGGGAGGAAACGTCGCGAAGGACGGAAATTGATCAGTAGAAGGAGGGCTCTTTTTTGGCTAGAAGGACGCAGATGTGATATCAGATCTTAGTCTCTAGACCAATACCCATCAACGATGCTGTTATCACACCCTGTAATATTCCGGAGAGGAATATGTACGACTAGAAAGGCACTGGCAGGTCATAGTAAGTGGGCCAATATTAAACATGACAAGGCTAAGAATGACCTAGAAAAGAACAGAATATCATTCCGCATGTCTCAACAAATCACCGTCGCTGTTAAAATGGGTGGAGCAGATGTTGTAGGGAACCCAGCATTGGCCACTGCTCTGGAAAAAGCCAAAGTGCAGAATGTAACCAAAAAAGTCATCGAGAATGCCATCAAGAGAGGAACTGGAGAGCTAGGGGACAAGAATAACGTGGAACAATGTACATATGAAGGTATTGCACCTGGGGGAGTTTCAGTTATCGTCCAGGCGTTGACAGACAACAAATCCAGAACAGTAGGTCTTGTCAAAGCGTGCTTTACCAAGTTTGGATCCAATTTGACTCCAACAGCTTATTTGTTTGAGAAGAAAGGTTCTATAGTTATTGATAGGGGAGAAGATAGCATCGATCACGTATTTGAAAAATGCGTCGATCTGGGTGCCCAAGACATTATAGAGAACAAAGAGAACGATCAACTCGTGGAAGTGGTGACAGATCCCCAAGATACCGGACGACTCGCCAAAGAGTTGAAATCCATGTACAAAATTGACCAAGTTTCGATTGTTTATAAGCCCAACGACGACACCTTGGTGGAAATCACAAATGAGGATCACCAGAAATCCTATGACAAATTTGTAAAGCTTTTAGACGACGTTGACGACGTCACTGATTATTTTACCAATCTCAAAGAGATAGAATCTTAATAGAATAAAATATGTTAAGGAATAATTATCAGGTACATGACAAAATTACTCGTTCTTGCTGACAGCCTCTTCGAACTTTTCGTTGAACTCTGGATTTTTACGACCTAAACGAAGAGTTCTATCGGTTCTTAACTTCTTGGTAGTGAAATAAATAGCGGAACAACAAGCGACTCCAGTGGCGATGAACAGTGGTGTTAACTCAACTGGGATGCTTCTGATAAAGCTTGTTTTTTTCTGCAAAAGGGGAAAATTGTTAGTAAACGGATCCACTGAAACAAGAATTCTGCCATGATTCATTTTTTCTGGATTCTACTTACTGCAGCAGCAAAGTTAATCTGTGTAGGTCTCATTAGAATTGATAAATGTATGTAATTATAGTTATGAAGAGATGGTGTGAGAAAAGGGAGAGAGTCATTGGCTGAGGGAGGATTTCGCGCATTGGGACTCTACCTCTGATCTGGATGTTGATGGATGAGGGTGATGGATGCTGGATGTTCTATGTCATTTTCGTCTCCCATTATAGCCCAGTGATGAATTCCTTGATCAGATCATAAGTAGCCCATTGAACAGCCATTGATGGCATAATCTTCCACATATTGGCTACCCATCCCTTGTACAACCCTTTAAACCCCTCTTGGGCAACAATAGTCTTAAGGGCATGTCCAGTGGAATTGTACTGGAATCCCATCTCGCCTGTACCTAAGGTGAGCACTTGGAATCGGCGTCGGAGTAAATCAAATGGGTATGTGATCGTTTGGGCAATTCCTCCAGACAACGCTCCTAGCGTGAGTTTCACTACAGGATGATGTACCTGATATGACCCTGGTAACAACTCTTTCAATCCCTCGTAGATTGTGAAGTTGAGAGCAACATATGGAGCAACACCAATTGATGTGGGCACAAATCCTCTGTACAGCGACCTTGCTCCACCTTCGTTCAGGTAAATATGTTTAATAGACTGGAACATTCCTGGTGGTCGTTTCGTTCGCCCGTGTAGCTTAGACTTTAGATTTCCCAAAGAAGCTGTTTGTATGGAGAGTCGGGTCTTGACTAAATCCAGGGGATAAGTTGCTGTAACTGACGCTAGGCCTGCAATGTTTCCTGCAAAAAATTTGGCTCCAGTACTTAGCTCCTGTTGACCTGGCTCCAATAGGTATGGTTTAATCTCCTGGTAGGTGGCATACTGAACAGAAGAATACGGAAAAATTCTCAGACAGTTTATACCATTTCCTCTAAAAAGTCCTCTATAGCCCTCCTCTTTCCATATCTGAAGTATACTTTTCAATACTCCCCCTTTATACGATTTAGCATCAACTCCCTGGACCTGATACAAAACTTTCACCCTTTCCATTGGCGAGACACATGTTCGGGAAAACGCACCAGCTATGCCTCCAGAGAGGAAAGAAAGAACAACATCCTGTTGAAGGAATCTCCTTGTATGTGCAATAACATCGCTATCCATCAGGGTGTTTTGGGGTAAAAGTAAGTTTTTTGGCGGAGATTTGAGTGCGCATAAGACCAATTTCGAAATCGGAGATGTAAGCACCCCGGCAATCCGGAAGAATTAAACCACAGTTTGTAAACGAAGATAAATTTCAAATTGCGAGAACTAGCGGGAATTTTGGTGACGAGAACGATATTTACAAGTTACGATATTTGAATCAAGATTTGCCAGGTTCTGAACTTTTCATCTTCATCTTAAATATGAAAAAAAATGATGTGGGTCACGAGATTCGAACTCGCGCATCCGAAGATACTACAGGATTCAATGCTTCCTAAATGTAGCGCCTTAGACCACTCGGCCAAACCCACAACTTATACGATTAGGAGCGAGCTACGTAAGTATGAGTTGTGTCATTATAATACTAGTAATGAATTATATAGTAATCACCTCGTGTGACAGATAAAGCTCAACATTGAATCAAAGGTGCTAGTTTTGATTGGGCTGAACCGATTGCTTCTTCCTACCGACTCGAAATATGGCTGTGTATCATAATATATTGTACACCCCTACACCATGTGGTATATCTTTTAGTGTATACATTTGGACTAACAACCAGACAATAGTGATGCCAATATTACAATACGAGCCGCTGGATTACCTGTCTAACGTTGATAATGAAGCGACTGACGAGGAACTGAAATTAGTCAAAGATTTGATATCTCAGGAGCTTAAATCCGCCAAAAAACTGCATCCCAAGGTCGACCAAAAGTTTCCCCCAATTCCATCGATAATCCAAAGCAGCTTAGAAGAAATTGATAGCCTTCAGGATAAAATAACATTCACATTCAACGGCATAAGCGAGTCAAGATACCAGGAAGCTAAAACCGACGACCAGTTGGATACCCTGGTTTCGTATACCGAGATGCATCACCGTTCACTAGAACTATTACAGGAGAATACTCGTAATCTTTACTTGATCAACAATTCACAGTTAGAGAGTATACAAGAAGGTTTGAATCAAACTATAGCACGCAAAAGAAAGCTAGTTGACCGGATCAATAACTCGCGTAAGAGACAACAAGTTGATTTCAGACCTCTGAACAAGCATCTCAATAACTCATGGAAAGAGTCCATCAAATCTAGTGTGGACTACGGAGTGGAATGCGCCAGAATAGAATTAGCGTCACTAGACAGTTGATAGAATTTTAGTAAAGCTTACATACAATTACTTGGCAAAACACATTTCGCAATTAACCAATCATACAACTATGAACAGTTTATTTGTCCAAGACATCAGCATCGAATCTTTGCTTGAACCACTGAATAGTGTCCTCCTTGTTGGTCTTGTGGTTGTTTCCGATCTTAGCTCTGCATCTCTTTCTCTTAGCAACTCTTGCACCGGCTCTACCCATGACAACGTAGAAGTCCATACCGTAAATACCAATGGATGGGTCGTATTTTATACCCAGGTCGATGTGCTCCTCAATACCGAAACCAAAGTTACCAGTCTCAGAAAAGTTCTTCTCTCTCAATTGGTATTCCTTGACCTTCAAACCACGTTCTAAGATCTCCTCAGCCTTTGGTCCTCTAACGGTAACGTGGACAGCGATCTTTTCGTTTCTTCTGATTCCGAAAGTTCTAACGGTGTATCTAGCCTTGGAGTGGACTGGAGTTTGACCGGAAAGTTGTTCCAAAACCTTGGAAGCTCTGGTCAATCTGTCACCAGATTCACCAACACTGATGTTCAGGACCAACTTGGAAATGCGCAACTCACGCATAGGGTTTTGAGTTTTAGAAGCCTGAAAAGTTAGTTTTTTTGTCTTTCAATCATGAGTCTTTCAAACTACCGATTTACGGAGGCTTGGATACTTCTGTGTAAATACATACCATTTTATGTGTATTTGATTCTGTAACGTTAGTTCAACTGGAGGAGTGTTTGAATTTTTTTTTTCAACAGAGTGAAGCACCAGAAAGGTCGTGTTTCGCGCACTCTTAGGGAATAGAGTACAGTGAAAGAGGAAGGAAAAGAACGATTTGCTAGAGGTGGTCACGTGAGATCTTCACTTTTCTCGACATAGCTATAGATAGCCCTAGTAATCTACACGTGCTTAAAAAGTACACCCCAGCATCATCTTTTTTTGATTTTCTGAAAAATTTCGCGCGTGGCACTTTCTACCTCCGAGCATCACAACCATCGAGGGTGTGGGATATCTGGGTTCTCTTATCGAAACTGGAAACATCAAGTGGCAAATCAAAAGGCATATCTTTCTTTTATCACCAATTGAACTGCCGTTATGAACACCATTGCACAGCAGTTTAAGCACACAAACCCTGCTCACGAAGCATTTCAAGACAATGATAATGAGTTTTTTGAATCTGGAGTTGACTTGAAAATGGCTCCTTCCATAACAGTTCCGCCTATTTCTCAACCTACAGAGTTTCTAAGAGCTCACACAGACGACGCATCCAATCCTGATTGCAAGATCAAAATTGCGCATGGAACTACTACATTAGCCTTTAGATTCAAGGAAGGTATCATTGTGGCCGTGGATTCCAGAGCAACTGCTGGTGACTGGATAGCTTCTCAAACCGTGAACAAAGTTATTAGAATCAATCCGTTTCTGCTAGGAACAATGGCTGGTGGTGCCGCTGACTGCCAGTACTGGGAAACCTGGTTAGGAACTCAATGTCGCTTGCATGAGCTTAGAGAAAAGGAGAGAATCTCCGTCGCTGCTGCATCTAAAATCTTGGGAAATCTGGTCTACCAATATAAAGGCATGGGCTTGTCCATGGGTACCATGGTTTGTGGATTTACCAAAAAAGAAGGACCAACAATTTATTACGTAGACTCAGACGGATCAAGGCTGAAAGGTGATATGTTCTGTGTTGGATCGGGTCAGACATTTGCCTACGGTGTCTTGGATTCTAATTACCACTGGGATCTATCCGTTGAAGACGCGCTGTACCTAGGAAAGAGAAGTATTCTGGCTGCCCAGCACAGAGATGCATACTCTGGTGGCTCCATTAATCTTTACCACGTTACAGAAAGTGGTTGGGTTTACCATGGAAACTTTGACTTTGATGACACATTCTGGAAGGTTAAGGCCGCCGAAGGTTCCTTCAACAACGTTGATGCATGATATTAACACTTGCTTTGTACATTAATAATTAACTATGTCTATTGTTCTGATTTGGCCATTTTGGCTATGGTACTTCCCTCAGGCTCGTCACTATCTGTCCTCTCTCTTTTCAAATTAGGGGCTTCTGCCGTCGGAGTTGCCTGTCTAGAATTATTTACAGATGCTGATGTTGATAAGATATCATCTAGTTCTTTATCAAAATCCACATCTCCAAGTTGATCGGTTTTTCCTGGTTGAACTGGATCTGGAGTAGGACTAGCCGAGAATGACTCCAGCACTTTGTCCAACTCTGGATTACTTAATTCTGGTGGCAGCTCTAAGAATGAAGAGTCTGTCAGTGTGTCAACTGTATGCTGGTCAACTTTCGAAACCGGGTTAGCATCGACTTGGGTGGATGCTTTTTCACGGTTCACATAGCCTACTGGTTTCAGGGGCTGTGCTTTACTATAAGGTTGAGGTTGGTGTGCTCTAGGCTTTGGGGGGCTTACTCCAGGTGTTCCTGGTGTTGACTCAGCTACCCCTGGACGAGCGTTGAAACTCATAGGTAGCCTTGGGTGACCCAGATTATTCTGAGGTTTCATCAATGAATTAGGTTTTGAGAACCCCTCTGGTCTTTTCAGTTTGTTAATAGTATCAGCTGAAGCCCCTGGTTGCCCCTTTGCGTAATAGTTCGGCTTCTTTATCATTGATGCAGAACTTTTAGGTGAAGCATTAGATTGCGATGGAGAATCTTTGAGGATACCAACAGAATCCAAATTCTTTGCTTCTGATTCTACCACGGGGGAAGGTACTTGAATCGAAGGAACTGGAGTTTTCATTGAGGATATATTTGTAGCCACTGGCACCTGAACTGATGGAGGCTTCGCAGTCACATGAGGCGCTTTGAATGGTGGTTGTGTGGGGGTTTGAACGCGTGGTTGACTAGGTTGGGTAACAACCGAAGCCTGTGGGGGCTTCGGCGTACCAAGTGATTTGCTGCTAGTCCCAACATTAGTAGAATTGGGAGGCTTAACTTTTGTCACTTGAAGTGTAGCAGCATTTAATGCTGCTGTCAGAATCTTGGTGACATGCTGGGGATTACGTTCGATTAGGGAAGCCAAGGGATTTCCAGGAATTCCTGCGTTTTTTGCGGCTTGATTCACTTGCGCAATTGTCATCGCTAGTGCTTGAGTTAAAATCGTCGTAGTAGTAGCCTTATCCGTCATCTTTCTATCTTTCGTCAATTTTATTAGTTCCTGCTGGAGATATCCCAAGGCCTTCATTGTGTCACTTGACAACTGATTAGGTTTTTGCCCGGGTCGAATATTTGGATTACTTCTGTTGGCTGCCAGTTGTGCTTGAATATTATTAGAACTGGAGGGAGTGACAGGAGTTGGTGAAGGGGAATCACTGATCCCGACTGTAGCTTTTTGGACAATGCTTCTCGCTATGTCTGGTGAAGCAATCGCCGCTCCTGGAGAGGTATCTGGTAAAGCTCCTGATCCACTGTATTTTTGTTGCAGATTCTGTAATTGCTGCATATGTTGTTGTTGTTGCTGTTGAATTCTATCTTGTTGGGATTTAACCTTCGCAGCAGCCGCTGCCACTTGCTTTTTCTTGACTTTTTCCTTTTCGGCACAATACTCCTCATCCAGTCCCCACAACCAACCTTTTCCTTCCTTGGAGACTTTCTTGAAAAGCTTATTCAAAGAAAGATTGTGTCTAACGGAACTCTGCCATCCATCCGGACAGTATTTGTAGTAGGGATAGATCTCTTGAATAGCTTTGTAAATTTCGGATAGAGACATCCCTTTCTCTGTGCTCCTAGCACGAAGGCATGTGGCAATCAAAGTTGAATATGAACATGCAGGTTTGGTTCGGTATTCTGGTGGAATCTCTTCCAAAGTATACACTTTTTTTGGCTGTTTGGGTTGTTTCTTGCGAGGCTCTTTCTTCTTTAAATTGGCCAAGGCTGCAGCATCCAGAGGTTGATTAATAGGTGGGGGATATGATTGCGGATTGACTGCAGCTGTTTGTAACGCTTCTGTAACCTGTTGTGCAATGGAAATCCCAGAACGCGTTGGGGCATTGACATCAAAGTCGTTGGGGTTTGAAATTGATAGATTCAAAGCCTTTGGAGTAGAACTACTTGAAGATCCAACAGGAGTGACCGTCGATACAATGTTGGAAGAAAGTTTTCGTCTTTCGCCTAGTTTGGTTTCGTCATCTGACTTGAAAACGTCTTTCTC